GCGAGTTGATGGGAGGCACTTTGTGGCTGAAATACTCCACAGGGTGCCAGTCGTCGCCGTCATGCTGTTCCAAGACTGCCCCAATGCCATAGCCGGAAGCGTCCGTAGTCACTCGCGCCGGCAAGGTGGGGTCATAGATGCTAAGGACGGGTGCCATGAGCATAGTCGTCTTAAGTGCTTGGAATGACCGACGTGCGTCGTCATCGAATACGAATGGCACCTTTGGCGACTGTAACCTCGTCATAGGTGCAGCAATCCTGGAATATCCGGTGATGAATAGCTGATAGTCCCGCCAGTCCCATGAAGGAACGAACGCCTGTGGTGTTGGTGGGCTCGGGCCATACTCGTAGGGCCTCGATCTTGTCCGCAAGCGGGCGGATGCCTTTCGACGTCTCATAGTGTCCCAAGTACTCCAGCTCCTGCTGTGCGAACTTGCACTTGTCGCGGTTTGCTTTGTACTTGGCCTGTCGTAGCCGCTCCAAAACGGTGCGCAGGTGTTCCACATGCTCTTCCAAACTCCGACTGTACACCAAGATGTCGCCGAGGTAGATGAGTACAAACTGATCCAGCATGTGTCGGAACTCCGTTGTCATAGCCGCTTGGAAAGTGGCTGGGGCATTCGTAAGGCCAAACGGCATGACCAGCCATTCGAAATGCCCATACCGTGTCTTGAACGCGGTCTTGTAGCGATCCTCCTTGCGAATCTCGAGTTGGTGATATCCCGACTTGAGGTCCAGCTTGGAGAAGAACTTGGCGCCGCCCAGTGGCTCGAGAAGATCGTCGATGCGTGGGAGAGGGCCGGCGTTCCTGATTGTCTGCGCGTTGAGCTTGCGATAATCGATGCACAACCGCAGGTCCTTGTTTCTTCTTCCGGACGAAGAGAACAGGAGCACCGTATGGCGATGAGCTAGGCCGAATCCAGCCTTTTTCTAGAAGGTCGTCGAGTTGTGCATGGAGCACACTTAACTCTTCCTCGCTCATTCGGTAGATACAACCGCGCGGAGGTACGGCCCCGTCCTCGAGGATGATCTCGTGGCGGATGGGTCGATCCGGTACTAAGAAGTCCTAGCCTACGCAAGTCACGTTGGCGGACGGTCACACACACAAGTCAATCGACCGGTGCATCGACGATGTCGCGGTGTATTTTGCCCCTCACGCAAGTGAGGCGGTGTCCATCGACATTATGGACACCAAATTCGACATGATCTTGGGCATGTCATGGCTGCGAAGCACGGATCACCCGGTGAACTTCTTCAACCGCACCGTTCACGTTCGTGATCGGAACAGAGTATTAGTTCCATGCACGGTGCCTCTTCCTCATCCTTCGATCAGCTGCCACGTGGTATCTGCCGCAAGCATGCGAGTTTCCATCATCAGGGACAACATCGAGGAGATGGGGGTGTGTTTTCTCCACGCCCTCCCGCCCCATGACGCTTCATCGACGGACTCATCTTCGGATCCACGCATCGCCGAACTTCTCGACGCCTTATAGCAATGGTGCGTCGATGTCGTCGTACCGTTGCGTCTTGAACTTGCGGTCGATCTTCGCAATGTAGGTGTGAAGGTCGACAACCTCTACTCCGGCGTCCATCAACGGAGTGGGTACTGCAGTGTGCAAGTAATCCCGCAATTGCGCCATGAGCACGTTGCAATGCGGTTTCGACAATTGTCCGGTCGAGGGAACGGGCATCCACTGGAAGTCCGTGAACATCAACGGGTCGAGCTCGTCAAGTCTTGACCATGACGTCGAGTCCCCGACGATAGATTGTGGCGAAGTTGCCGAATCGGTTGCCGATGGTGATGAAACCGTGCATGCGATGGATTGTTGCACGTGGAGCGGTTGGTCCAGCGGTGGAACCAAGTGGACAGCATAGTCCTCGTAAGTGTAACGAGAACATGCGACATTCGCATGCCCCCCAGATGTGCAGGAGGCCGCTAGCAAGGCGGCCGAATCTGGCGGAGTAGAAGGTGGAGTCGCCTCACCTTCCGCGGAACTCAGTTTCCCGAGTTGAGGCAGGGTCGCACATCCTCCTTGCCCTGATCTTGGCACAGGGAGGTCTTGTGCTTGGTGCTGTTGCACCAATAGTAGCTGCCGTAGCGGCCGCGGACCTTGTACTCCGCCTCGGTCAAGCTGAACTTGACCCATGGAGGTTGTCCATTTCCGGCCTGCAATGCTGGTTTCGCCTTCCCATTATTGCGGGACTTGTTGTTGCTTCGCGGCTGGACAGCAGCCACCTGATCTCCGTCACCTGATGCTGGAGTGGCTGCTGGGTTATCTCCACTGTCCGACTGGACTGCAGCGAAGTGCTGCGGTCGCGGACCAGTTCGTACCTTCTCCACATAGGTCGGCTGCCATGTTGATTTCTCGTGTGCAGCTGGCCTGTCGGTCTTGATGATCTCCCTCGCCTTGTCAATGATTTCGGTGAAGGTGTTGTATTGCTCGCGATCACCAAGAGTCTGGCTCAATGCAGCACAGGACCTGTTGTAGAACTCACAGCGTAGATGCGTGAATGGCAAGTCCAGATTGGGCACGGCCACAATCTTCTGCCACTCCGTGAGCCAATCCCGTGTTGCGGTGTTGCCCTGTGACATGGTGAACAGACGGTTGATGGCGAGTGTCGGCGCACAGTCGTGTCAGTTCCTCCCATGTGATCTTGTCCTTCAAGTCTGGTACGTCGACGTCGTGGGAGGTTGCCAGGTGGGTCAACCAGGTCTGGCATCCGCCCTTTGAGTTCAAGAACAGGGCGCCGATGTACGCATGCTTAGCGACAGGCAGAATCCTGAGTTGCGTTGTGAATGCTTCCCACCAGAGGACCGGATCCTGCTGCGTGTAGTCGTCGAACTTTTCCAGTTGGAAAGTTGACATCTTGTACATCTTAGGGTTGTCATTTGTGTTCGTCGACTACAACTGCTGGACCTCGGTCTTCAAGGTATGCAGCTGACTGCTGATGGTGGTCGGCGCAGCGAAGGTGCTGATATCGCCAAGCATTGCCCCTACGTGGTCAACGCGTTCCTCCAGTTGGCGGCTAGAGGGTGCACTGCTGGAAGCCCCAGCATCTGGTCTTGGTGGATGTTCCAAGTCCTGTACACAGGCGTCCGGTGCCCATGTGGCATCCTCGTGCTGCGTCTTATGGTTCCGCACAGCCCGCTGAAGGTTTGCCAGCTCGGACTGTAGGTGGTTACAAGTGTAAACCAGCTTGGTCACGAGCTTGGCCATGAACTCCTTATGCTGCTCCTCCGGTGTCGCGTCATCGCCGTTCGGTTCAAAGTGCCAGAATTTGAGTCTCTCGATGCTGTTGGCTTCATGCCGCTGTAGCAGATCCTGGGCTTCCTTGCGGCGAGCCTGGGCATCTGCGTCTGCTTCGGCCTGTAGCCGCAGCTTCTCTGCTGTTGCCGCTGCTTCAGCCTGCAGCTGGGCAGCCTTGGCTGCCAGCTGGCGTTGTTCCTCAGCCTCGATGAGAGCGAGCTGAGCGTGGAAACGCTGTTTGTAGTCGGCAATGGACTCGTTGGCCAGTTGGCCTGGCAGGCCCGTCATGTTGCTGACGTGGCTCTGCTGACGCGGCACTGTGTGACGTGGCACTGCTGATGTGGCACTGTGTCTGACGTGGCACTGCTTATGTGGCACTGTGTCTGACGTGGTACTGCTGACGTGGCACTGTGTCTGATGTGGCACTGCTTTCGTGGCACTGTCTGACATGGCACTGTGTCTGACATGGCACTGTGTCTGACGTGGCACTGTACCAACCCGGAAATGCATGCAGAGGGGTGGGTGGGGGGGAAAACGTAGGTAGGAAAACAACCCAACAATACTTGCCCCAGGCCCTAATCAACAGATAAAAAATAAAAAAATAAAAGAGGACTACTTCCTTTTTCTTTTTTTGTATATCTGTCGATCTATTATGAGTGAGACATGTCAGAAGAGTATTATGAACGAGATCTAGGCTAGGTTCCGCAAAGTCTCGGCTTTCACTAAAATGCGATCTTTGAAAAAATTTTGCGAAATAGAGTAAAGATGCGATTTTCAGAAAGAACGAAATGCAGTTTCTGAGAATATGGCAACCTCTGAATATGCCTACCGAAAAGTTGGTAGGCTCCGCAAGATCTCGGTTTTCAAAAAAAAATTTGCGAGATAGAATGGAAATTCGATTTTCAGAAAAGAATAATTACATTTTCCGAGAATATGACCACTTCTATCGTTACCCCAATATGCCTAGAAAACGAAATACTAACTTCAGAAATTTCAGCTATGTATGCGAAATATCAGAGAAACGAAATGCTACTATCGGGAATTTTCAGACAAAACGAAATGCGATTTATCAGAAATTTTCAGAT